ACATGGTGGCACACACCTTTAATCCTGGCTAGGGAGGCAGAGGCAGGCAGATCACTTCAAGTAAGAGGACAGTCTGGTCTTCAAAGCGAGTGCCAGGACAGCCAGAGCTGTTACAGAGAGTAACCCTGTCTTGAAAACAAACAAACAAACAAATCACTGAGTTCAGTAACGGGGGCTCCACCCTAATATCCAAATCTAAGCTATGTAGAAGGAGACTGCTCTTTCATTTCCCAACTGCTCAGACCTGAACAATCACACAGAAACTATATTAATTACAGTCCTGCTTGGCCTATTAGCTCAAGCTTCTTATTAACTAACTCTTACATCAAATTAACCCATTTCTATTAATCTGTGTATTGCTATGAGGCTGTGGCTTAGCAGGTAAGATTCTGTTCTGATATCTTTCTCATTTGGCAGCTACATGGCATCTCTCTGACTCCACCTACTCTCTCTCTGTATCTCTTCCAGTCTGGCTATATTCTGCCCTGCTATAGAACAAAGCAACTTCTTTATTAACCAATGGTAATAAAACAAATTCACAGCATACAGAGGGGAAATCCCACATCAAACCTACTCACTTTCTAAAGGTCCCACATCTAAGCACCATGGTCAGATCAAGTTTTCACCATTTTAAGAAGACTACCATAAACGTATAAGTATTAACTCAGTATGAGTTGGAAGTTGAGAGGACAAACCATATTTAAACCACAGTTGTACTCACAGAGGTAAGAGGGTTACATGGAAAGAATGCAGGAAAAGAAACAGCTCCTCTGTCTTCTGAAATGCCTCCTGTGTGTTCGTATGATCCAGTGTGTTAGTGTTATCCAGTGTGTTGGTGTGATCCTGTGTATTGATATGATCCTGTGTGCTGGTGGTGTTGTGATCCTGTGTTGGTGTGATCCAGTGTGTTGGTGTTGGTGTGATCCTGTGTGTTTTGTTATTTATGTGATCCAGTGCGTTGGTGTTGGTGTGATCCTGTGTGCTGGTGTGATTCCAGCGATGCTTACAAGCACCAGCTCATGGAATCCTCACAGCTCCATTAAGCAGAAAGCATTATGTGTGCTCTATAGGTGTAGAATGAAAACACAGAGATGTGAGTGAGTCTGTTAGTCACTGTTCCCTGCTGGTCCAAGATAGTCAGCTCATAAAGAGCAACCAGTTGATGGGCTCCTCACTTTGGAGCACCAGTCCATGGTCACTCGTCCCTGTTGGTTAGGGCCTGTGACAGCGGCATGTAGCAGAACAAAGATGCTTACTCATAGCCTAAACTAGAGGAGAGAAAGGGGAAGAGACCAGTGTCCCACAGTCCTTTTCTTCCTCTTCCTCCTTCTAGTGCTCTTCCCCACCCCACTCTTCCTCTTCTGTTGGTTGTTTGATTGTTTTTGTTTGTTTTTGTATTTGTATTGGAGTTGTGTGCTGGAGATTGCTGGACTCAGGACCTCGCAAAGCCACACAGGTATTCTACCAGTGAACTTCACCCCTTCCCACATCCCCTTTGAGAACATACACTCAGTGGCCTGGAGACCTCCCATTGCACCCCATTTCTTAAGTGGGAGTAAGCTGGAGCCAAGCTTTTACACTTGAGCTTTTGGAAAACTTTATAGATTAAAACTATACCAAAGACTGCTCATCTACACATGGTTATAATTTTTTTGTGCCAATTGCATTAAACTCGCTTCAACAGTCAACAAAAAGTTACTATGGATTTGTTATGTACAAGCATTACAGTGCACTGCAGAAGAAAGAAATCAGTATATACACCCTGTTCTCGAGTTGTTTCCCTTCTAATAACAGAGACAAAGGAGAGGGAGAGAGAGAGAGAAGGGGGTGGATTCTAATAATGAGAAAATATTTTAAGATACAGCCATCTATTAGCTTAAGAAGCAAACAACTGATGAGGGGAGGGAGATGATGAATATGAAACAGTATATTCCCTAGGCATGTTGGTGCAGGTCTAAAATTCTCGAGCTCCTTTAAAAATTGAATTTGCTAGTTATATTGAGTCATTCATTCGGAGATAGCCTTAGGGTAGGGACATTAATTAAAACCAACTGTAGCAGATCCAAATACAGCAAAGAGCACTTAAAAGGGTGGAGGAAGAAGAGGTGGGGAACAGCCTCCCATGCTTCCCGACAAGAGTTGTTCTACAGAGATCACAAAGGGAGGGCGTTCACAGAGAGAAGACACAGCAGAAGGTAAGCAGAGTGCGAACGGAGGAGCCTGGCTACTCTAAGGCTGTATTTGGCAATAGACTGTGGTGGCAAAGCCTATGAATTCTAACAGCACAATGACCTGGCTTGGATCTTGGCTCCCATGAAGAAAGTTACTTGACATCTTTGAGGAGAAATAATAATATTTACCTTATATGGTGTTTGTAAAGGTCAAATAGGCAAACACAAATTAAATACCCGGGAAATTGTGGGCTCTTACTAAATGGTGTCTATTGCTATCATTCCACAATTTAGGGAAATGGTGTCTAGTTCCGTAAATATCTAATTAGTTGGTAACACCCAATGTCATATTAAACAACAGGAATGTTATTAGGCTAGAGAAGCTTTAAAATGTTTCCTGTATTAATAACTTGTAGCTGGTATATCTCTACTTACAAGTATGGCCACTGAGAATTGATAAGGAAGGTTTTTAGATACCACAATCAGGAGAGGAAGCTGTCATAGGAAACAATATTTGAGATAAGTGAAGATCCAAAAATTCTCAGGAAAGTCCTACACATGACTGGATACATCATACATGACCCTTAAATGTCACTATGAAAAGCGTCAAGCCCTGTGAGTCACCAGCTCTTGCCATCAAGGGCTGATGGTGTAGCTTAGTGTTTGATCACTTGCCTAGTGTTTGTGAGACTATGGGTTCAGTCCCTAGCACAATGGGGAAAACCTCCCCATGGACAAACAGGAAATGCATGTCTACAATGGTTCAAACCTAGAACAAACTCAATTTTACTTACAAAGGACTTGAGATTTTAAGGAGGAAGGTTAATACAGTCTTTTAATAGAAACACAGCTATTATGTAACTAAGAAAGAATATAATTGTTTTGCCTGGAATTCTACCAAAAGTAACTTACCATTTTAGAACTATCATGTCACTTTTATAACCTGCCACACCTATATATCAGCCGGTCTGCTCTTAGAGCCACGGGATTCACGCTAAAGCTACATGTAGATACAAGCTTCTAATGCCTTTATTTTGGCATCCATTGTAGTCAAGTCTGAGCATTTCATCATTGTATTTAATGATGAATTACTTTGCTTTTAATTATCATATAGCTTATAACTAAGACATTATATTATTTTTAAAGAAATTATGTGTGTACATAAAACATATTATTTATGCATACCAGGTCAGAACAGGTCAGGATAATGAAGAAAGATTACAAAACACTTTCTATTAAATGAGAGTGCTGGATCTGAAGGGATTGAGCATTATAGCTGATGGTATTACATTACACTAAACTGACACTGAGTGGGAAAAAGTAAACCAGTGTTAGCTATGGTCTAGTCTCAAACACGCACATACACAGATGTACAAACAGACATGCACCAAAAGCTGCACTCTTTTTATAATATCTTACAGATTATTAAGAAAAAGAGAGCCAGTAACTCCACTAAAGAGGCCTCTTCTCTATGCCCCTCAGTTTTTTAATCCACATTCTTCACTTCAAGCAGAGAATTATGGCAGTGTATTGTTTGGGTTTTCAGGAGTCAGATGGGAAACAAAATTTAAATTCTAATCCTGGCCAGGCAATTTCCCCCACCCCCACCATTTCTTTCTTTTTTAAATCATTTGAGTTTTATATATGTATGTAATGAATTTTAGCAATTTTCACCTTTCATTAACCCTTTCGTGTCTCTCCTCTCACTGAAACCCTTCTTGTTCCCAAGTCCCTATGACTTTTATCCCTTGATACGTGTGTGTGTGTGTGTGTGTGTGTGTGTGTGTGTGTGTGTGTGCATGAGAGAGAGGCAGAGATCCACTGAGTTTAGAGTTGCTGGCATGAGTACAGGTAGGGTTATTTACTGAAGTCTGGATAACTTATCAGTGGCTACGGCACTGAAGAAAATGACATTCCCCCCCCATCTAGCTGACAGCAGTCCCTCAGAACTCAATGAGAAAGACCAGAGATTTGCTCTACTTAGTAGTTTCCTTTGAATTATGTTACCTTGACCACATAAACAAAGGAGGAAAAAGTTTATTTTGGCTTGTGATTTCAGTCCCTTTACTGTGGGACAGGCGTGGCGAGAGCAGCTCGGCTTATGGTGGTGAGGCGTTGGTTCACATCACGGTAGACCAGGAGGCAAGGATCCCAGACCTGAGCAGGTATAACCTCCTAAAGGCCCACCCTAGAGGCCTACTTCTATCTGCTAGGTTTTACCTCCTGGCTCCACAGCCTTCAAAATTGTTCTGGACTTCAAGTTGGGAATCCATTGCTCAAAACATGAGTTTGTAGGCGACATTCCTGAGTGAAACTATTACAATAACATGTGACTTCTTACTTCAAGGGCTGCCCAGGTGGGTGGGGAGGTGGGAAGGAACTGGGAGGAGTAGGGGGAGGGGAACCATAATCCGAATATATTGTATGAAAAAATATCTATTTTCAATAAAAGAAAAAAATCACGAATAAACATGACCATTCTAAGCAAACAAACAAACAAACAAAAAAAAACCAAAGCAACAAGAGCCACATAGGAGCCTGCGAACAAACCCCAGCACAGCAGGACACACGGGTGCTAAGAGGTGTCCACGGCCAGGATACACGGTGACTACTTTTCTAGTTGCTGTTGTCAAACACCCAACCAGAAGAAGAAGTTGAGGAAGGAAGGAGATGTTTTGGCTCACAGTTTGAGAGTTCTTGTAGAGGAGGAGATGGCAGAAGCTCCCAGGTAAGCAAACCAATGGAGGAGAGAAAAGGGAATGTTTGTTTGACTGACTTCTTCCTTCCCATTTCACTCAGCCCAGGTTCCCAGCCTATAGAGTGGCTTACCGTATTCATGCTGGGCCTTCACCTCACTCAATTGTCCCTCACAGACACCCCTAGCTGTGCAATACACAGGCAAATCCAAATCCAGTCTAGATGCCAATGAAGATCAGCCACGACAATATATTCGGGGAAACACTGGGATGAACAAAATTAAACATGTTTTAGTAAGACTTAATTAAAACTCCTGTTTTGGTGTAGCTCTGACCCAGGGCCTCATGCATTTTGGGCAAGTGCTATGTCACTAAGTTAAAGTCACAGACAACAAAGAAACAAACAAAAACAAAACTAATTTTCTTATTGAGCTAGTGAGTATTCTCAGTTTCTGGGAGTAAAAATAATGCAGCGGGTCACATGTCCTGCTTTTACTTTTTTTTTTTATGTCCTGCTTTTATATTGACATATGGACCCCTTCTTTCTACACACCGAGAGTCTCTTGGGAAATGGTGATTAGCAGAGCAGTTGTGGCAGCTGACTAATTACGGTAATATGGGGGTATTTCAGAAGGTTTCCTTATCTTCAAATGAAAGTTCCCAAGGTATGTTTTCAGGCCCTCTAGCATGCAAAAGGGCTAGGGGTTTCATGTAGTGATTCTCCCAAGTCACACCATATGAAGGGATTCTAACTTGTAACTTCATGTTGACAAAAGAAGGAACTGAGAAGGTTAACCGGAGAACATAAATTAGAATGTGATTAGCATGAGCCATTTCAGAACTAAAGTAAAAAACGGGCTCCCTCTTCGTAGCAAAAATTAGCTATATTGTCTAAACAAGAGAAAAAATGTGTGGTTGTTCATTCAGTTCCAATATTGCGATTTGGGACAGCAATTGTAGGTATAGAAAGAATGTGTTGTTATATATGGAAAACTAACAGGAAGAAGTTAGAAAATTTGTGATATTAGAAATATTGTTCTTTCCTGGGTCTTTCAGGAAAATGGGTTAGCAATATGTTGACAAGCTAAACAAAGAATTGGAATACAATTCTAAAAGAATCTCCACACAGGAAGAACAAAGTTCCTTTAATTAAGATCATCTTAAAGGTCAGCTGTTAGAAGTTTTACTAATTTATTTGACATAGGTGTATCAGTACTTGGTTCCTTCCTCTCTCCTCCCTTTTCCTGTTCCTCCCCCATTTCCTTCTTTGCTGGAGGTGGGGACTGAACCTGGGGCTTGACCATGTTAAGCATATGTTCTATTGTTAAGTTGTCGCTATCCCAGGTGACATGTCAGGTCAAGGTTTCCTTCAGAACACATAAAGTCCCTGAGGGTAAACCAACACTGAACTCTATACTTTACCCAAGTATTAGGCTCCTACATGTGCAAGTCACTGAAGCTGATTTCTTAAGTGGGAGTGGAGCATCAGCACTCAATCCGGGTTTCAAATTCATTTATTGTGACTACACTAGATTTGGATTATTTAATTACATAAAATGAAGTATAGAACATATCTAGGATATATAACAAAAATGTTTAATTTTAGTCCAATAAATCCTTAGTTACAACATATAGTTCCCAGAAAACAGGAGAAAATGGATCAAAACAAATGCTAATATATTTGTCTAAGTAATCAAACAAATCAAAAGTTTGACATTGTTTGGAGCGAATGTTCCTTCAGTTGGAACTACTGGTTCCTTCAATAAGTCAGAGCTATAAAAAAAAAGGGAGTGTCAAATAAAGTAAGACTTCAGAGCCGTATTAACAAGATGCACTGTGGGATCCTGGGTTGGAGAATGGATGGACCGGAGCTCTAGCGCTCATTTTTTATCTGAAGGAAGCACCTCTCATCACGTTGATAAGGCCTGCCATTGTCTCTCCTTCCTGCAGCTGTCTATTCACAAACTCTGCTTATGACATTTCAGCTTCTTACACATGACTTGATAAATCAGCTAACCCAGTTTTCTTCATTATTGTAAGAATTCCTATCTGGGGCTCAGGATAGTGCTGTAGCTAGTTCTGCATTCTCTTTACAGCATGAGAAATGCTGTTGCCCTGAAATTGGATATTTTGTTTCAGATGAAGTGAAGCAGTTTCTCCAAGATCGTATAAGTGGCAGAGCCAAAAACCTGTATTCAGATATATCCTTTTCTAAAACTACTGGGTTCTAGCCACACCTAGCCGAGTTCCTGTCCTCAACACACTGTGGGGTTTTCAAGGGCAATGGGTATGTGGCCTGTTAGGAGAGCATCAAGGAAGGCTGCAGGGAATTCTGGGGTGGGTGCTTGTAAGGGCAGCGATTTGAGAGCATGGAAAAGGAAGGGCAGATGGTGGAATCCAAGAACAATGTCAGCCAATCAGACGGGGGAAGCTGGGGCACGTGTACCACGTTTGGATATAAAGCAGGGAGAGTGACAGAGAAATGTGCTCAACTTGCAAATGTCTGAGTCCAGGTTATAACCATCCTGGAAGGCAGTGGGGATCCCTGTACAATTTACTGGCCCAGAAACAGTTACAAGCATACTATGCACACACTCCTATAAGTTCAGCGGTATTTGGGACAAGAAAAGGACCTTCCTCTTTAGAAAAAAACAGTTTTTTTTTTTTAAATTTACAGAGTAAGGGACTCCTTCTATTTGACATCTCAGAATTTAAATAGAGATGTTCTTGAGGATACCAGAAACAAGCTCTACTGACTTTTCGGAGAGATAAAGAGACAAAGGAAAAAAGGGAGTAATTAATTATGAGCTTCTAAAAACAGATCATGAAAGTTTTGCTGAAAATGCCTCACTTTAATTTAGATAAGCATAATAGTATGCTTGCTTTGCCAGCATAAAGTTTCGCCAGTATTTATTTTTTGTAAAATTAATACACTATCTCCGCTTTATTTCTCTGGATCCCCAAGCCATTCAGTGTTATAGTGGGGGATCCTGTCTATGTTGCCCTGCGGCTTACTTATGACAGCAATGTGTTTAACAGAAACAGTTTCTCAGCTTCTTTTCCAGCTAGTTGGTGACTTTCATTAAGTTTATGGCTAATAAAATCTAAGCAAGTATTTTACACAGACCTTCCAGGAAAGTGTTTACAGATGAAGATAAATGTTGCGTTGAAAATAAATCAGATACTGAGAATTCCAACTTCCACATCTTTTTCAGTCTTTGAGCAGAAGACGCTCCATTCTTATAGATGAGTTAGAAGCTCCTCCTCAGAGTGTAAGCAGTCCTTGAGAATATGCATCCCCCGCTCACATCCTGACCAGCAGCATTTGCAGTAAATTGCACAACTATGTGGGGTGGGCCCTGACACAGGTGCTGGGCTATGAAACAAGAGAGGAAGTTATGCTTTAAAGATAACATGGTCCTGTTGGCCATGACGGTCCCTGAATTGACCACTAGCAGACTTCTCTAATGTAAGAGAAACCAATGTTATTTCCCGTTTATTTCACTAGCAGATAATTCCTAGTAAACCAAGAGGAGATAGGCTAGATGTGGTACCACGTCTGTAAAAAGCAGTCAGAAGACAGAGGTAGGAGGATCATGAGTTTGAGGCTAGCCTGGGGTGAGCTACGCAGTGAGTTCCAGGCCAGTCTAAGCTACATAGAAAGATCTTGTCTTGAGAAATAAGAAACAAACAAAAAATGCTGATGGTATTACGTTAGCAGGGCTATCATTAATCAAATATTTCTTGAGAATTTTTATCAAACATTAATGATAAGGAATATCATATTTATTATTTGCTAATGATGGAGCTCATGATACAGGATGTAAAACAGAGATATACACACACAAGTAATTAAAGGATACATGGTTGTAACTCTACATATTACATAGAGACAGTTGGCCAAGAGGAAAATGGGTACTGTGCCTTAATAGATCATATACAGAGAGAATCTTTCTTAATTTATCTTCATAAATGGAATGTCTGCTTTGCTTATAGACTATGATTCAACCCAGGATGGTGATGACAATGATACTGTCTTTTTGAAGTTTTGCTTGGTGATTTCCAAATGTATTTTAGTATCAGTTAGTCTTCTTTGAAAGAACATGTGGTTATACAGAAAAAAATATGTCTACAAGTTTTGGTTTCAGAAGTCAACTCAAGTTACATTCTACATAAAAGAGAACATATCGGTTAATCAAAGCATACTTTCTACAGCAGAGTTGGGCACGATGTGTTTAGAGTTTTGGGAGTATTTAGATAAAGCTTCAAAGAGGACGGAATGCTTGAGCACCATGTGCCACTGTAACAATCTACTTTTAAAAAAGGCAGAAATCCTTTCCCCAAAGAAAAGGAGCATCAGAGAGAAAGGAAAGTTTCTGGGTAAACAAATGCAATATAGAGGACAAATAGAAGAAGTTTTCTAATTTACTAGTTTAAAATTTTTTGTATTTATTTATATTAGGGTCTAACTAGGTAGGCCTGTGCTCACAGAGACCTGTATGTCTCTGAGCACTGGGATTAAGGGCATGCACCACGAGGCCCAGCTGGGTAGTTTAGGTCTTATCTACTTGTTTCCCCGCTGTGTATATAGATAACTTTGAAAATCCTATGACATTAGTAGCATACAGTATTAAAAGAGTTGATTTTATTGATTGGATAGTATGTTGGCCACCTCCCAGATGCACTGAGGCATGAAATATGTATTTTGGTAGTAATTATGGCCTGGCTAGAACATACAGGTGAACTACAGTGAAGCGCTATGGAGAGAGCTGATGATACTGACGGATACTCAGTGATCAAGGCCTTGTTTATAAGGAAAATGGATAATGAGGACTGTAGGGATATTTTGTTTGCGTTTTAACAAATAAAGTTTGCCTGAAAATCAGAGTGCAAGACTAAAACACCGCAGTAGTGGCACACACATTTAATCCTATGGCTTTAATCCCAGCACTAGGGAGGTGGAGACAGATGAGTCTGGAGATGCAGTCTAAGGACAGGATGGCTCCTTTGGTCTGAGCATTGGTAGAGGTAAAAGAACTCTCTAGTGATAGGACACTTTACTTCTCTGATCTTCAGCGTTAACCCTTATCTTCTCCTTTGGGTTTTTATTATTAACACCAATTAGAATTCATGCTAGAGAGGTCATTAAGAAGAATTTTGTTTACCATCTTATGGTGGATGACATATAAATGCTACAATAACAAAAGCAGTGAAACATACTCATCTGTTAACAGTTGTGAGCTGAATGTTAAATGTCCCGTAGGC